CGCTTGTCGTGTCACGTGACTGCAGCCTGTAACGGGGAGGAGGTCTGCAGCTGTCTGGATGTACTCAGGCTGCAGAGAATCGAAACTTATCCGAGGAGAGGGAAGTGTCGGGCGGTCACAAACGAAACCTCCTCGGGGTTTGCTCCTGTCAAAGTCTCTCCGTCCGGAAACAGCATGGCCCACGTTTAAACTTTGCTTCGGCTCAATGAACTTCCTGGCTTCTTCTTCTACTGGTAGGTGTGTCCGATGCTGGCCCAGGCTGGTCTCACAAACGGCCTCGCGTGCTGGATGTTTACGCCAGTGATAAACGGTGAATGAGGCTGAATGTGGGAGTGTTTATAGAGGCTTTCAGTTCTTTTCGACTACTTTCAAAGGAAGCGGGTGTATCGAAGAGTAGCTCTGATACACCCACTGTCACTGAAGTTGGTATTTCCTCCTAATCCCTCTCCGTTTGTCTGTGTGTCTCCCACTCCAGTGGACAAGCATGGATCCTGGCCGAGAGAAACGCAAGGAGGAGATAAACAAAGCTTTGGCTTTTATACAGTAAGATCATTTTATTTTTAGCTGAGCGCACCCAGACTGAAAGTGAAACTGTCCCTGGGTTACTCACGCCTCACAGCCTAGCTGTGTCATTACGATTTTAACAAGTCCCTCTGCTCTAGGTCTTCCCTGGCCTATCCTGACCCCGACGGCTATCAGGTAGTGCTAATGCTGTTATGTGCGTTTGCTTTTTATGCCCTGTGCCTAAAAAGGGCAGCTGGCCCTGTGCATGCTTTGGTGTGAAGCACTCTGTCTCTTTTTGCTACCTTCCTTCTTTCTATTCCTAGCTCTATGTAAAATCAAGCGCCAGATAGCTTTCTTTTGACTCTTTATAATCTTCCCCCCATTACTCAGTTCAGTCCATGTTTGCTTGCTATTAATGTTTATTGACCGTTGACTGTTTAAATGAAGAAACAAACCACATCCCCACTCTACACCTCCAGAACAATGCATAAACCCCACAGGGAACCTGTAGACTCAGGGGTTCCTGCTTGAATACCATTAAACAGTGCACCTTTGTCTCTGTTACATCTCATGCAAGTGTCAGAAATCTAAAGGCAAAGTTGTGGAGTTCTGCAGCTGTCTTGTAGGTTGTGTTGATCCGTCTGCTGTGTAACATCCTGTTTCTAGTTGTGGGTTTCAGTTGAACCCAGTCCTCTTCATATAATAATTCTGCACTCAGAAAACAGAGAAATTTTCTATAAAACATGCAGCAGTATGTGATGAACCATTGGTAGTTAATCTTGGTTATGTGCAGTCCTAAGTGCACAGCATGATTCACTATCTTGTAGTAGCAGCGATGACTTGGAGCTCTGGGTTTCTGTATGACTTCATCAGTTATGGAGGAATTTTGGCCCACTCTTCTT